TTATTTTGATTTGATCTCGATGTTTTAAAAATGATTAAAAATGTAACACGCGTTTAAAAGTGATCAAACCTGGAGACCTAAATTTCTCTTCAATTAAGTTATCAAACAAATAATATATTTAAGAATCTAATGCGTAATTGATTGATGAGAAATTGAATTTGCAAGCATCGTTACGTTTCAAATCTAGATTACTCGGTATCGTAATTGTGTTAACCGGTGATATCGCAACGCATATTACACGAAAGTTCTTCTCATTGTCCCGATCTAATCGTAGTTCCAACGAACAGGAATATTTCAACGTAAAAAGTATCTAATCAAATAAATCGATTTCTAAAGAAAATTAGTTGAAACCAAATTCTTTCCAATTTCCATTTGATTATTTTTTTGTTGTCTTTTTTTTATTTTTTTCCTTGAATCTCGTAATCGATCGTTTAAATAACTATGATTCACTCGTCTCACAATCATCGAACTCTCATAGGACCGACTCAAAGCTGCTTAATAAAGTCCCACCGATCGCGATATTTCACGAAACGAACGAACCACGTTCTCACAATAGTGGTCGTTAATAATGATTTGTGCTCGGCTCGTCCTCGAGCACGAGAATCGCCAAAGTTAACTAAAGAGGTTTCTTTCTCTTTCTTATTTTATTTTTATTTTATTTTATTTTTTATAGGCAACAACAGCAGCAGCAGCAGCAGCAGCCAGTAGATATCCAAACGACTTGAAAAATTTTCTACAATCGTGACAACTTTAATATCTTTCTATAATATTTCAACTAGAAAACTCATAAATCAATCACACGTGAAATTAGGATTTTACATGTCTATAGAAAAGGGCTAGATAGTCAAAAATGTTTCCTTTTTTTTTCAAGGATTCTCTAACCATTTGTCATAAGATGCCAGAAAAAAAGAGTCTCATGAAAAATAAGTAACAACTATAGCTTCAAGAAGAAAAATTATTAAAATAGATAGGAAAACAACTTTCGCACAAAGCAGGAGGGTTTGACATCGTCCCTTTCTAAAATAAAACTTAACCAGTTTGTTAAAATGACACTTTCTTCTAGACGTTGTCAACATTTTTTTCCCTACTCAAATTACCAAGAAATTGGTTGCACCGTCTCCAAGGAAACAGGGTTGGAGTTGGTCTTCGAGAAAAATTTTTTTGTTATCCTTTCATCCCTCTTCTAACTTCTCTATTGTGAACTTAATATAATAAATTAAAAATATTCTCCTGGGTATTCCTATAAAAATGGTCAATATCTGAATATCTCGACCCCCATTGACCATTTTCCAACGAAACTTTTTCATTATTAACATATTTAGAATTTTTCCAAATTTTTTCGTTTTCAAAATCATTTGCATAACAATGGCAAAATATTAGATTTAAAATTCTAGGTAAGAAGTATTGGAACATATGTTTTCTACGATTACAACCGAACGATGTCATAAATTGACACGTGTTAGAAAATTATTAGGTAGTTAAAAAAATCACAGTTCATATATCAAATACAATAAATATTTTAATTTTACAATCATACGCATATAAGAGTTGAAAAGAAATAATTGTTTTCGAACGATAATTAAATAAAAAAAAAAATCACCTATACCTACAATAGTTGAATAAATAATCGTCGTTACAAACCAAGTGTTGTCCACTATGATTTCACATGAAAATAAGAAGAAGAAAAAAAAAAAAGGTCAGATCGATCCATGGATCGTTAATTTCAAATAAAAGATTAAAATGATTGAAAGTTCACACAAAGGGGTACCCGTTACTATCGTCTTCTTATTTAGTAAGACGTGAAAGTCTGTGAAACGACGACGTCGTTACTGACCGTTTGCCATTTCCTTTGTTCTAAATGAAAAATTTCAAGTAAAAGTGTCTATTACCAATACACACATCTAACCAGGACTAACATCAAGGAGGTTACATCTAACGTTAATAGCTCGGCTCTCATCCAAGGGACATCTGGTGAACGCAAAATCGCGATTCCCATCTTGCAACGCATTATAACGAGCTTTCCTTTTCTATTCGTACCTACCTACCTACGGAAATATTAATTGGCACTTGGTGATTACGTCAGAATAATAAACACGTTGGCTTTCACATACTCGTCCAAGCCCTATCTTCCTAGCTATCCTCCTCTTCGTCTTTTTCATCGTCGTCGTCGTTGTCGTTGTCGTTGTCGTTGTCGTTGTCGTTATTATTGTTGTTCCTCGTAAATCGAGACGGTGGATAATTTACGATCACGTTTTTGTGTTAGCACTTACTATTAACTAAACTTAAATGATTTCGCTAATCATCCTAATCAATTCTAATCTCTGATACAAAGGAAAATAACGAAGATCTAATGAAAGACAAGCTTCCCGAGTTAATTGGATGCGAAACGGGAATGTATAAATATAGGAAATAAATATTTTTATGATTCGAGAGAGAGAGAGAGAGAGAGAGAGAGAGAAGGAGAGAGAAGGAGAGAGAAGGAGATACGCGAATAGAAGTCGAACGAAATCGAAGAAGAAGGTCTCAACGCTGACTCATTTCGAGAACTTGCAGCTGGTTCGAGAGAGTCAAGTTGGAGGTGTTCAACGCGAGCTGACCCCGTCCTGGCCGTTACCGTTTCTGAGTGACGTCTTCATGTCTGGCTCTGCGGGGCATTCCTCCTTCTCATTGTCCGCTCGTCCGTCAGTTCTCTGAACATTGGGATGTGTATCGCCAACCCCCCGTCGGCTGCCACTTCTCGCGATGAGAACACTTTTCTCTCTTTCTCTTACTCTTCGAGCGAATAAAAAAAGAAAAGGGAAAGATAAAAAAAATAGCAAAGCAACGTTCTCCTTCTTTCTTGCTTTCTTTCTTTCTTTCTTCCTTTTTTTCTTTCTTCCTATCACGCTTAAGATTTTACAGAATTATTTATTTGCGTGTAAGTAAATAAATTATTTCTAAGATGTGCGCTGTTAAACTGAGGGGTGGGGGGGGAGGTCAATTAAGATTGAGAGGAAAATATCAATATCGATAGTAACATATTTATTATCTACCCATTACGCATTTCAAATTCTAAGGAATAGTCTATGAAATAAATAATTGATAAGATACTAATTAATGTCAATTGCGAACGCGATAACTGGTGGAACTATTTATTACTTTGGATTTATCTTTTCTAATTTTTTAAAACGCTTTAATTCTCCAATAAATAATGAAGGAATTAATTACCAACAACTGCTAACCAGTTTGAACTTTGGCGAACGCTACTCTTGTGGTATCGGAATACGACTCGGACACGGACCGAGTAACGTTGTTAGAAAGATTGATGTCTCTTGAGCGTCGGTACGCTTTGCTCTCATCTCCGGTAGCAGTGGATTTTATCGAGAGAATAGTATGAGAGAGAGAGAGAGAGAGAGAGAGAGAAAGAAAGAGAAAGAGAGATGTATGAGACTCGTACTTTTCGTGACGATTAGCGAAGGTGACGGTGCGTATTTTTGACAAAAGTAACACGCCGCGGTGCTTTACCGCTGCTTCAGAATGTCCGTGTCGAAAGAAAAGACGACGACGATTGGAAAAAAATCAAAGATAGGAAAGCAGAGAGAGAGAGAGAGATAGAGAGAGAGAAAGGGAGAAAGAAAGAAAGAAAGAGAGAGAGAGAGAGAGTACAAATAGAGTAGGTATTTCGTTTTAATTGGTGACAATTAACGAAACGCTACCGTTCTCGATCGTCCAACACGAGTTCTGTTTCTTTTTTTCTTCTTCTTTTTCTACCGTTTGTTTTCTTGTTCTCTTTTTTTTTTCCCCGCTGTTAACACGATATTATTACAAACTCTCTCAAACAAAACTAACCCGTGTTGGATACTCGGTTAGATATCATCTACACAGTAACCGACACTTATTTTTATAGACTTTATTTAATACGTTTGAAAGATTTCTTATAGAAACATTTAGAATACTAAATGGAAAGTTATAAATATAATGTGACAATAAATAAATATAAATAAATTGTCGAGAAAAAAGAAGTAATTTATTGGAAAAAGAAAATACACGTGTTCTGCATCGAACGATAAAACCGGACGATCACCGTTAACATTATACCACGTAATAAAACAAATTTATAATCAATGTAGAAAAATGTAGAGTGTATTGAAAGAATACAAAGTCGCGTTATTCCCGAGGAACCTGTCGTGCAACATCGTTGTTAAGCGGATGTTCAAACTCCGTAGGATAGGATCGCGTCAAATTCTATGTTCAATTACTTGTTCGTTACAGAAATAATAATACATAGATTTACGTGTAAATGAACCTTGCTATAAATAATATCTTTACGTATAACAATCCCATTTTTTTGGCGATAGGCATTGCTCGAATCAACAATGTTCTTTCATTTCTGTGTGATTTTTCTTTCTTTGTTCTTTTTTTTTTTTTAAGTAAAAATAATGTTCATCGTCGTACAATAAATACTATGGGATTTATTGTATGTTGTTAAGGGCGTTGAAATCCATCAAACCCCTATGGTGTAATTCAGGTAGCTATGAAACTGTCGTTCCATAACTAATATATCAAAGAAGACTAATAGAGCTCTAGGGTAGGCTACAACCAAAGATCTAAAATTTCATATTATTCGAAGATAGAAAAGAGGCACGCCTCCTCTCCTTCGTCGGCACCACTAGGGTGTGTCAGAGATAATCGCAAAGGTTTAGCTAAATTCTAAAGCTTAACGAACAACTTTCTCCATTCACGCCTTCCTTTTAAACCTAACTCTATTTTATGAAAATGGTATCATAATTATCGCAATGTGATGATCGTTTTAATTAATTACAAGAAAATAAGGATAATTAAATTCGATCATTTGTTTATACAATTATCAAGGTTGTCTCAGTTCACGTTTTAAAATGACAAAAATAAACAAACGCAAAGTTTTCAAATTTGTTCTAGGATAATAAAAAATTGACCAAAAAAGAAAAAAATAAGAAAAAAAAAACTCAACGATAATAATTAGAATTTGAAAAAGATCCTACCTTGTCGATGTTCGTCGGAATCACGTCGTTGGTGTCCTCCTCGATTTGGCGTTCACTATTGGTATCCCTCAATAGCAAGTCCACCGTCGTGTTTCTCAGGGATATCACCTTGTCCAGGATGATTTAAGTCCTTTTACTTGTAACGTTTAACTATTATTTCCCTCGTCGATAAATATTGGCAGAACGTAAGCCACTCTTACATCTCAAACTTGATAAGGCTCATTGCACAAAATCTTCACAGAAGAAAGTTCCTTCTTCGATCCGTATATTATTATCAACTTCACGATATTCAATTAACGATCATAAGTTATAAGCAAAATAATAATACTAATAATAATAATAACAACACGTTTAAAAATGTGATAATTTCACGATATATCATTGATTTATTTTTTCTTTTTAATATTTAATATCTTTTTCGCGACCATCCGCGATAAGTAAACAACACACGATTTCTATTTCCCGTTTTATATACAATATAAAAACGAATATTAATTCGAATTTTTTTCATTCGAATGGATTACGTTTTATAATCAATCAACGAGAAACTATGGTCAAAAGTTGGTGATCAATGACGACGACGATGACGACAAAGATGATGATGACGACAACAATGACGACGACGATGACGACGGTGACGACAAGGAGGTGGATGACAACGACGAGGACAACAATGACGATGACGATGACGACGACGAGGACAACTACAACGAGTACTATAACGATAACGACGACAACGACAGCAACAGCGACGACGACGGTGACGACGACGACGACGACGTCGTTGTTGCTTCCTGGTAGCACCGCTCGGTAGCGCTCTCTTCGTCCAGATCACCTCTTTCTCTCTCACCCTCTCTCTCTCTCTCTCTCTCTCTCTCTCTCTCTCCCTCTTTCTTTCTTTCCCTCTTTCTCCCCCCACCACTTTGAATCTGCAATCACAACGACGACGACGACAACACAACGACGACGACGACGACGACGACAACGACAACGACAACGACAACGACGAAGACAAAGACGAAGACGAAAACGAAGACGAAAACGAAGACGAAAACGAAGACGATAAGAAGATCCGAGATATATCGAGGGGAGACGACCGGGTACGGCCTCGAGTGAGAACGCAACGCTCTCCGGATGCTGGACGTTCCGCGTCGGCTCGTATGTGAACGAGAATCGCGTCTCTGCCGTGTGGGAGACCCGTGGAAAAGTAGATTCGAGTGGGGATATCAAGATAGAACGAGACAGACATATATATGTGTGCGTGTATATACATATATATATACGCTTATACATATATGTATACATATAGGGAGTGAGATAAAGAGAAGGGAGACTGCGCGGACTCGTCCTTCCTCCTCCTTTCATCCCCACCACTCTCGATGAAAGCTGCTCCTGGATGGCCCTATCCTGCTCGCGAACAAGGACGTGAGTTTTACCAAAAAGTAAACAGAGTAGGATAAAAGATACGATGTTGTATTATATTTCTCTCTCTCTCTCTCTCTCTCTCTCTCTCTCTCTCTCTTTCTCTTTCACTCCTTCTCGAGCTTTATCATTCACTTACTCGTTCTATCACTATCGCTAGATTCTCTACCCTTTCAGTGATATCTTCCATAAGGTTACGAGTCGCGCAATTATCATAGCAATATTGTCCAGAAATGGTTAAAGAGAAAGAGAAAAGAGATCTTTACCTTTTACGTTTCACTCTTCCTTTTCTTTCGAAAGTAGTGCACGTAGCAAATCCCCGCCATGTTGGAATCTTTAAACTCGTCGGAAGTTTCTACCGATAACTTTGGAATCGTCTTCATATTTTTCTCATATTTTTTAATATTATTTCAATTTAAATGACAAAATATCCAAACGTTTTTATACATCAGATTTGTCTTTTCTCGTATCGTTGATATATAAATAAGAACACGTATATACGATTATATTTGAAATAATAATTAGAAATCTCTGACGGGGGAAATCGGAAAGAGTGGAAAAAAAAGAAAAGAGAGAAAAGAAACGAAATAAGAACTTTACCTTTTCGTCAAGTTACCCCTAGCTAGAACACATTAGCTTGCTATCTTTTGCTTTTCCCGACGAATTGCAAGGAAAAACACGACACACGCATATTCTCTTTCTCTCTCTCTCCCTCATTTTAAGGAAGAAATGCATACACGTAACTCCGATACGAATAGAAGAAAGAGATGGTAAAGGACGCGAAGGGTTGCCCGGGGAAGGGGGAGATGGGAGAAGGGGAGAAGGAAGGCCATATAGAATGCGCAGCCTCCGCATGGACCAAAATGGCCGGCTGCGCGTTGGCCGATTGGTGTTTTGGATGCGGTAGAGGCGTGGTGAAAACATGCCGCGTACGAGCCACCGATCGACGATAAAAATGAATATCCCTGCTAGAAAGGGAGAACGAGATTGGGTGGGGGGAGGGGGGCCGGCAATCGGAACGGGTGGCGGAGAGGGAGGGGGAGCCGAATACGGTGGGGGATATGAAAGTGTGAAAGACAAAGATCGTATATATATATGTGTGTCTACGTTTCCATGTGTTGCGCGTGGTTATCTCTTTCTCTCTCTATCTCTCTAACTTTATATGTACAGTTAACGTGCAAGCTGCAATCGTGTTGTAAAAGGGGGAAAGAAAAGATAGCGGTGGGGAGTAGAAGACTTTTTTATAGATCCCTTTCCTCTTCTTACTTACACATACATTTATATGTGTATGTTTGTATATGCAAGACACGACGAACGACAAACGAACGAACGAATACCAGCATATGTATATGCATTTCAACCCCTTCCTTTCTCTCTTCTTCTCTCTCTTTCTCTCTCTCTCTTCTCTCTCTCTTTCTCTTACTCGCTGTTGTGCACGAGCTTCGCTGTGTAATGTACCGTGAATAGGAGAAAATAAATACGTACCGCGAATATCGATGTGTGTCGGTGAATATACGTAAATGTGAATGTAAACTCGTGTTGCATTGGAGTACACGAAGTACATTTTGGAGATTGTCATTAAGAGAAATGCTAATTAGAGACGCATCACGAAGATGATAATATGACGACGGAGTGAATATAATTTTTATTTGTATTTTTATTGTTTCTTTTTTACTATATCTTTCTCATTTTATATTTTTTTTCTTTTTCTCTCGTCTTCATTGCAAACAAATTTGTCTGACGTCTTCTTTTTTATCCTCCTCCTCCTTCTTCTTCTTCTTCTTCTTCTTCTTCTTCTTTTTATTATTCTTTATTTTTATTCTTTTCTCGAATTGTCGTTACAGTGTTTATGACGAGATCTCAATCTGTTTTATATAAACACGCACATATATATATATATGTACAAGTACATACAGTGTGTATATAGAAACTGGGATATGTTTTCAGAAGTACTGCAGTTCCTTTGGAAAATGCAATGTGTCAGAGATGAATCCCTCTGTTCGCTATCGGTCTCGAATACAAGACCGGGACGGCTGTGTTATTGTCGTTTGTTTGTTTGTCGTATTCGATAAAGAGGGAAACGGAGACATACAAAGAGAGAGAGAGAGAGAGAGAGAGAGAGAGAGAAGCACCCTTGGTGCACTGGGATGCCCACTAAATGGAGAGACATGCGAGGAAGAAAGAGGAACAAACAAGGATGGGTGACCACCACCGGTTGGTAGGTTGGTTGCTTATATGAGTGTATATCATGTTCCATTCTATGCGCTTCTTTGCTCTCCTAAAATCGAATGTCACTGAGAAAAGAAATGTCACAATATTCCTAGTATATCCAGCCGACGACGTTTCTACCAAACTATAATACTACAAATCTTTTTTTTCTTCAGTCTCATTAAAAAATCATTGTAATTGATATTGAAACGTTTCCTTTTTTTTTTTTTTTTTAATATATTATCAGTAAATATGTTCAAATCATAATTGTAATAATATTTGTATCATTCTACATTTGTAATTGTTAAAATCAAAACGACTATTTGAAGAGAGTGCAACAAGGAAAATGAAATTAAAAGTTACGAAGATAACCAAAATTGATACTTTAAATCTACGATTATTGTGTTGACGGAATAAACATCCCTATTCTTTCGACATCCGTAACGAATCGTTGCTTTTCCTAAACGAACGAAAGTGGTCTAACAAACAAACAAAAAGAGAAAGAAAATAAAGAAAGAAGTTTTTCTTCGTATATAAATACAAAACTTGGTCCTCGAAGTTTGGATCGTTGCTAGTAGTAATCCGACGTTAGAATGTTTGACAGCATAATTTTCACGTTAGGGGGTGGCCTTTTATGCTTGCGACTGGGCCATCGTATTGTCGTTGAAATAAGCCATATCCCACATTATAAGTACTCCGTACCTCCTCTTCCCCTCCTCTTCCCCTCCTCTTCCCCTCCTCTTTTCCTATCTTTCCTTGCCTTTTATGCACATTTGCACGTACGCACGGGGCATAGAAAAACCGAAAGGGACAGACGACAGTCCTATAGTTGTATTCGCCATAGAAAAAGTTAAAGGGCGTGTAAGAGAGAAGAAAAGAAAAATAGGCAAAAAAAAAAAGAAAGGAAAAGGACTATGGGATTTTTTTCCTTCTTTTTTTCTTTTAAATATTCTTCAACGTGACTATTTTTATATGTTTGACCACAAATGGATACCTATCGTACTATTCTCCTGGGCAAAAACGATTCTTACCGAGAAAAAAAAAGAAGAAAATGAATATTTTGAAATTGTTAAACGTAGGTATTTCTTTTTTTTCCCCAAAATCTAAAATAATGACTAACTTTGTCGTAAACATATAGGAATATTTGTATTAAAAAAAAATCTAATGGATTCTCAATCGTAACGTTTGAGAAACGAATTCCCAGAAAAAGAGTCAAAAGGTAGAAAGATCGTCTTTCAAGAATGGAAAGTAGACACTGCAACAACGTCAATCACGAACAGAGGTTGCCGAAAAGAAGAAAAAAGAAGATGAAGAAGAAGGTTACTCTTCTATTCCTAGGGGAATATTCGTCACTCGACACCAAATCAGACAGAATCTGTCAAAAATCTGTCAACCGGTGACATTGTCGTCGCCGTTCCCTTTCTCGTTTTGAGATTTTACCAACATGATGAAATCGGAGCGATGATCGTGAAACGAGTGGGATACAGGATGTATATATGTGCGTGTGTGTGTGTGTATATATGTCAGAGAAAGAAAAAGGGACCAAAAAGAGGGGCCAGAAGGAGGCAAGGCAAGGCAAGGCAAAAGTATGGAAGAGCACAAAGTGGACCTTCTCTCTTCTCCTGTTCTTCGTCGAAGAGCATAGGTATGTAAGTAGGTGGGCCTTGCCACCTATATTTGACACCTTTCAGTCTAATAAAATAAAATGCTACGCCGTGGAATGTGGTCTTCTCTCGTTCGGGGACAGAAATGCCGCTTCCACTTTCGACTTTGAATGTCCTCGCGAGTTCCCTTTGCCGATCCTTCTCTCATTCCCAACACGGGGATCCTGAAGAAGACGATGATATCTCTCGAAAAGCAACGATAAGGGGGTCGTCTTCTTTTCGAGTCCTTTCAAAAAAAAAAACCCCTGGATTAAATGCGCCCATGCGTATTAAATTTCCAAGTTAAATTGAACAAAAAAAATATTTTTTCCCTAGACAAAGAATATCTATCTCGAAAAATATAATCTCTCGATTGCAATTAATATTCTTATAGAGAAAAATTAAGAGAATTGAATAATCTTATCAACTATTACTCCTGCAGTCAGTAAGAAATAATAACGCATTGTTTATGATTGGATATATCTACGTCAGTCAACAGTAACGTTCGCACTTCATAACGGTCCAGCTTTAGAAAGTGGCGTTATCCAGGAGAGTTGATCATCGAACCGTAACCGATACCACTGTGCTCGAAGTATTACCACATATACATGGCTCCTTTGTGAAAGAGCTTGATATATCGTGCACTATTAGATTTTTCGCCAGACCTGTAATGTCTCCTCCATTGTGCTCTCTCTCGAGAAAGAGAGAGAAAGACGGCTTCAACGATAAATCCTATAAGGATTTTTCAAAAGAAAGCATTTGCTTCGTCACGCCTAGGCTTATCATTTACAAAATCGTTCAAATGTTATTTTCCTTTTTTTCTACTAACGCACAAACGACTTATTTGATTTCTTTTTTTTGTTAGTTTTCCAAATACGATTATTCACAAATTTGGTAATAATATTTTCTTATTTTTGTAATACTACGTGAATTATTTTATTTTTTACAGATTTTGTTCTCTATTTTCACGAAGGTCGCATGCACACGCGTCAATGTATACGCGCGAGCTCGTTTACACAGTACGTCCATACACACACACACATACACACATACATACGCATAATGAAAAATGTTTTTTCTATCGACTCCTTCAACGTGCAGATTAAAAAGCGACTCGACGATTGCCTCTCGGCGAGCACTGCATTTACATTCGTTCTAATCCGATAAGAATCGTTCCTACAGATGTTTGGAAGGTTTGTTTGTATTGAGATGCACGAGAGAGATATATAATCTAGTCAATTTGACACCCTCATCGAGGACCTAATGGGTGCTTTCAACCCTGGAGGAACCAGTTAGGTACAGTTGTCAGGCAAACTCGCGACTGGTCCCTCCACCTATGACCAACACACAAAGATCTCTGAAAGAGAGAAAGAAAGAAATAAAAGAATAAAGCAACACACCGAGAAGAGAGATAAATGCGAATAAAGTATCTTCGTTTCTTCGTCGAAAATATCCTGCGATGGATGATACTAATCTTTCCAGATTTTCATTATCCTTAATTTCGTACTTCTCTCCCTTAACTATATCTCTGCACTTATGAAACAAGAAAACTTATGAAATTCTTTCTAGGACATTAATTCGCTTTTTTCCGTCATCAGCGAAGTTGGTACAGAATGCAATGACACTTCGGTGTACTTTTTACGTGGTAGAAATCTAGAAAACAAAATATATACAAATATTAATACGAAAAATGATCGATTTATAACAACTAAATAAATTAGTAAAAAGTAATAATTAAAAAATTGTACCTTCGAATGATTGGTGGAAAATGATCTTTATTGACTTCATTAAGATCTGGTGCTCCGCAAAGGAAACTTACGATAGTACCGATCACCATTACGACCAAACAACCGATCAAAGTATAATACATAAAAGAAATCGTGTAAAGGATGAAAGGTTCGTTCTCAACGTCAACTGTGGGCACATTTGTCAGCATTGTTGTGGTATGATTGTTTAAAGTATCATTCTTAAGGAAACATTCGGCAGTAGAAGTTGGAAGAGGCTTATAGATCAACTTTTTAAGAGCCATATTCCATTGAGCACCAGCAATGATCCATACCATTAATGCCATAGAGAATGAGCTACCAACAACAGCACCCTTTGTTGTTGCCCATGGTACTAACATACCTAAACTGAACAGACCCAACATTGAGCCAGCTGTAATCCCGGTCAAGCTCATAGACACTTGAAAAACGTCTCCAAGACGATCGACTACGAAGACCAAAGCCACACAAATAGTGCCTATAATAACTACCGTGATCTAGGATAATAGAAATGTATTTAAAGTAAACGATTATAACTAAGGAAATCTTCTTATTTAAATCTTCAATAATTGGAATCTATTATTATGTTATTTTTCTTTATCACCTTCATAATCGTAGCTGCTTTTTTCTCTTTGTCAGGAGTATCGGGCATCCAAGGTTCGATGAAATCCTCGTAAATTGTACCTGCTGTTGTGTTTAATCCACCACTCATGGTGGCAAGTCCAGCGCTAACCAAACCGGCAAGGAAAAGTCCTGGTAGACCTGGTGCATTAGCAGCTACATCCAACACGTAATATGGTAAAATTTGATCGCTCCTTGATACTACCTATTAAACAATATATTTCAATTATATTATATATTCAATATTATATATATATTCATTCATTAATATAAATATTTATATTCATATATAATTATATTATATATTTTATATAATATTTCTCTCAAATTATATAATATAGTATAGTTAAAAATGATTATTTTTGTAAGTTAAATGAATCTTACGTGTGCTGTTATTGGGTCGCATTTATAATATTTAGCGTACATAATAAGCCCAGTGAATACCGAGATCCATTTAACTAACACCAACCCAACTGCCATAAATGCTATTGATCTGCAAAAATAATTAATGTATAAAAAAAATGTAAATATGGAAAAACAAATGATCTTACTTTCTTGCTTCTGTCATCGTTGGTACAGCCAAAAACCTTTGCATGGAAACTTGACTGATACCCATGCCGACAAGCCATGTCGTTGACATGCCTATCGACATACCCCAAAAAGAATTTCTAGTAAAGGGACTCGGATTCATGCTGTTAAAGTAGAACAAATCATTATTATACATATATATATATAATATAAATTTATATTATTGGATAAAAAGAAAAAATCAAACGTCAATGATATAATAGCACTTGAAACTCTTACTTCCAAAACACAACCCTCCCACCTTCATCCGCTATTTTCCAAATTTCGGTAACACCGCCCACCGATCTGATCCCTAACAAAAGAACAGCAAACAAGCTTCCTACGGTTACTGTCATTTGAACCGTGTCCGCCCATACGACCGCTTTTAAACCCCCCTAAAAATATATCGAAAATGTTAGAACGTGAGTTAGAAGACAAATTAGAATTTATATTCTTAAATAATAAAGTTATCTTCGTATTTTAATCGTTAACATTAATTAAGTGTATTTTAATCAGTATCATTATTATTATTATTATTATTATTATTATTATTATTATTATTATTATCATTGGAAAATTCTAAGAAATAAAAGCAGAGGAATAACGAAAGCTATATTTAATAATAATAAAAAGTAGGATTCATGTGGAAAAAAGAAATGATAATGGAAGATAAAAAAAATCTTCCTTGTAGATTTTGACGCGTATTTCTGCAAACACAAACGCCAAACGCATTATATTCGTGTAAACATTATCTCCGTTGCAATGTACATTTAATATTTAAAACAAGCACAATATTCCACATTGTCAACATTCGGTAATAGGCGTTTCCATTCTCCACTGATAAGAATTCACGACAGCTAATTCTAATACAATAACGATGATATTAATGACAGTAATAGTAATAGCAGTAATGTGTTAGACAAAAAAAAAAAAAGAGAAAAAAATAGAATTCGTTTGCCAATCCATGACAATCCATCATATTTTTCCACGTACTCGTTTACTACCGAACGCGTTGAGATCTTTGATAACGTCATGCTTCATATATGACGTTTGTAAACGAAACGTCACGGAAGTTATGCTTCCTCTTGCACACTTCGTTTATCAAAGTGCATGTATCTCTAAACAACCTCGAGATGTTCCTGTTTGACGATGACGAGCTTAATCGTTACATTGACTCGCGAAAGTAATCTTCTGCTCTTTTAAAATGTTCAATCCTTTCAACTCAATTTATTTTTAATATTTTTACCCGTCAACTAATTTTTTTTTTTTTTTAATAAACAAATAAAAGTAATTCGGCGTACGAGTTCAAAGGGTTAACTAATTTTTTTTGCCATTGCTCATAAGTATTGTGTATATTAAAAGAATTTACATTTGAGCAAATTTTGTTGGATACATGTTAGATTTTGTTGTAATATACACAAAATTCTACTAAAAATATTTAAATAAATTTTATAATTCTAAAAAAAATCGTTAGCTAGTTTAGAATGAGCCAATAATTATTCGTATCGGTCAGTAAATTGTTAGAAATAATCATTATAAACGCATTGTGCGGCGACCGTAATTAATTGAACATGTTTGTATACTCGAGTCACCATTGTGTTAAATTTAATGAAATCAATAGTTCGTGATATATACTTACTATAGTTGTATAAAAGATGCAAACAATGCAAATCACAGGTGCAATTAGATGTAAATTAATTGCTGTTGCTTGAGAAAATGCTAAAGCGGGAACGTAAATAATCAAAGGAATGTAAATGACGAGAGATAAACAGTACAGAAATGATGCGAACAATCGCACAGATCGGGCAAATCTAATTTCTAAATACTCAAATATACTAGTCAATTGTAATTTGAAAAAGACTGGTAAGTAGATGTAAGCAATGATCGAGCACGTTATGAAAGACGTAAAGATGCACGCTGCATATTGGCTGCCATGTTGATACACCTCTGAAGGCACGCCAAGCAAAGATACACCGGATATATGACTGAAAGAATAAAAATTATGTTTTTCGTTTATTTCTTTCTTCTTTCGTTTTCACAAATTTCATTTTAAATTTTATTTCAAATTGAATTTGATCTTATCTTTTCTTATTATTAAATTGCAACATATATATATTCTCCATTTTGAACAAATATTTCTTTGCATTTTTCTCTTCGTACAAGCCAATAGTAAACAAATGTGATTACAAATGTATTTCCTTGATTAAATTAATTTAAAAGAAAAGTTTGTTTTTTTGTGAAAAAAAATAAAAAAAGAATCTCTCTTACCTCGCGATTAGACTCATACTGATCGGAAAGAAAGACATAGTTTTACCACCGAGTAGATACTCGGTGGTACTGTCTTGTTTTTTGAAGAAACCAAAATAAACGCCAATAATCATACTGATGCCTAACAAGAAGACGAAGAGGGTGTAATCGGTCCATCCGAAAGTAAGATGTTCCAATTTATTATCGATGAGAATGGATGTTGTATTATTATCTATCATATCGATTTTAGGCGATTCCGTCGAATCACCGAAGATGTTACGCTCGTTTTGGACGTTCACTGAACACTTTCTTTGATATTTCTAATTTTAATGTTCTTCTATAAACTTATCAAACGCGATATCGAGAGATGTCTATTAGAAATTGACCGGCTACGATTTAACAAGACAGACCATTACATTGATATATGTGCAATCAACGAAGTTATCTTATTTAAGCTTGGAAAACTACTCTTGACGAAATCTTCGTGTCTACTGATAATGGTGATGTGGTATTTGATTCTATATGCCTTACTTGTATTACACGTAACATCAGTCTTGATTTACAACAGGTATATAAAACGGTTAAATTCGCGAAGATTTTGCAAATAGACATGTACGCTTTATAAATGGACATCTTTAATCGTTTCAATACATATATGCTTCATGACCTATACTGTCGCGACTCTTATTTGCCCAAAAAAAACAGGGAACAAATTTTTAGAATTGTATATTGCTCCGTGATAAGATCGAAAACGACGAAGGAGACGGGAACCGAATCAGATAAATATCAATGCTGAGAATTAATCTTTGTCAAATGATCTAAAAAAAATTCATCCTGTTGAAGTTAGAGTGGAAAAAAAGAATTGAATTTTTTGATCGTAATGCAAATATCCATGAAAAGATAACCAACATACGATAACTTTCAGTGCCATGAAGATAAATAAAGATAACAAGGGAAAGAGGAATTTTAATAAGAATATATATGATATATATTTTCTCTTTCACTATCCACTCTACTAATGCGTTCCATATAACAACCATTCCGTTAATTGTTGCATTCGACGTTGTTTCTCAGTTTCCTCGCATCCCTTCAATATCTCATCTAAAATTTTCTGTTCATCTTCGTCCAAATCTACCAAAGGATTCAATGGACTAATGACCATATTTGGAAGCGTTACGTCGTAATAAAGAAATATCTGTCAAAGAGATTACAAATATAATTTATATAATTCTTTTTTGATCTAGCGTAACGCGGTTAGATACTTACTTTATTATTAAATGTGTTGTACACGAGGCAAGGTGTAGAAGTACGTTGTACTACGTTGTAATAGCCTGTACAAAAGGCTCGAACTGGTTCTTCGAATTGAAAACGTACGCTATTTCTTTGTTGATCTAAGATATAAGTTTGGCCATCCCATGCACAGGCTATTATTTCATCGGAACCATCGTTGGTTACATCCAAACGGCAGAGGGCAAATATTTGATGATCCACTTGCATTGCCCTGTAAAACAAGAAACATATATTATAATAATTGTTCAACAAATTTGTTTCATCGTATTAAAAATATTTAACTCACCACAATATATTTTCATCCTTCACCAACATTATAGTGCCGTCCAAAGTGGCAAGAGCATATGGCTTCCCTCTCGAAGAATCTTCTTTAGATTCATCCAACTCGTCATTTTTATCTATTTCATTTTGTATTTCTTGATTATTAGTATTGTTGTTGATATTGTTGTTGTTGTTGTTATTATTATTATTATTATTATTATTAAAAGAAAAATCTTCGAACGTCGGTAACAATAGATCTTTCTTTGGCTTAAGGTCAAAGTCTCCAAGAATAACATTACCACCCAAAAGATTACCATCCACTTGATCAACACCTGCAAAAATCGAACCTGTTAATAATTATGTAAATTTGTAAAATATTGAAAAATGATTTATTATCACCTGCTATATCTACACTGCCAATTTTTAGTTCCGATCGATGATGATGCGATTTAGTTTCAACCAATAAAGACTTGATATTTCTCAAACTCGACGGGCCGTCATCAATGAAAGATTGTTTAGCTGGAGTATCGTGTTGTACGATATTTTTTGGTACTTTAGATTCCAACGATGCCATCAACGATATCATTCCTGATTCGAGATCTCCTATAATTTCAGTAGATATATTTGGATTACGCATCCTAGATATTCCTAAAGTTTGATAATCAACACAACTCGCAGCTACTTCGTTATCCCCTTCACATGATTCATTTTCTAATCTATGGTCTTCCGCGTTGCATTTTATTCTCATGAAAGTACCACCTGGCTGGGCAACTAACAATGTCGGAGTTCCATCTTTCGAGTGCTATAATGTTTATTCAAATATTACAAATTCTGAAGTTCATAAATGTGATTTCATTTTTTGTGAACATTATTTTGTCAAACCTGTAGCGTAACTGTTCCAATTTGATTGGCACATTCCCATTTGTTTAAACCAACTAATCTACCAGTCCCGAAATCTGTATTACTGGACCACCTGTATGATCTGACAACACGGTCTGTTAATCCAAGTATCATTTCATTTGCACCATCTTTATCAATATCAGCTACCAACACTACCTTTGTATTTGTTGGTATTCTTTGCACATGAACGCATTCCATTTTCCCAGACAATTCGTTTATTTCACTAATATTATCTACGTGTTCTGAACTTGGTGAGCTCGTCATATTAATAATGCTACCAATATCTGTTTTCACAAGATAAAAATATAAGACTTAACAGATATTTGTATTTGTAAATGTATAATAAAATAAACGTACCAGCAACAGTCTTAAGATTTTCTTGTTCATCTTCTTTGTGCAATTGCGTTAATAAGGATGGTACATTACTAGGATTAACAGATCTTGGACTATAAAAAATATGTGCCCAGCCATCACCACAAATAACAACCAATGCATTTCGTCCATAATTAAAAATATCGCCTATAGCTACACAAGTTACAAGCCCAAGGCCTGTTATTTTCTGCCATAATTCAGATCCCTGAAAAATAATCGCAAAGTTAGAAATTATTAAATATAGTATTTAAAAACTTATCGAATATATACGATGCAAAAGATTATAAACCTACTTTAAAAATATAAAGTTCTCCTTCTGCTGTTCCCACTACTAATTCATTATCCCCATCATTGTCAACATCTCCTACCGTTAATCCGTGTCTACATATAGTACCTGGTAATTCCCATTGTAATCTCTTAACAAAACTGACAGCCCTCATATTTATAATGCACTTTTGATTAACTTCTTCTAGAATTTAATATTGTACGTTGATTTGGCATGGAAGCTTCTAGATATTGCCAACGATTAGGTGGCCAAACTATGCAAGTAGCTTTAGCAGTGATTAAACCAAGGGAAACTGGTCCAAAAGTGTTCGAGTCCATTGAACGACCTGTGTGATCTCCTTCCAACCAGCAATGTCCATCTGGAACCTATACAAATATCCAATGTTCAAAATTCATTACAATGAGCAAGAAAATAGAAATGAATTTTTATTTAGAGTAATAAGTTTGATATAAACCTGAAGGTAGTCCGATTTATATCCACGTGTATGTAAAATATCACCTGCGAGGCCTACAACTCGCTTGATTAATGTTTGACTTGGTGATTTGGGAGATATCACAGATACTATTTCACCTCGTTGAATATCGTGACTACGTATAGCCCAACGATTTAAGAAAACATAGTCTGGATTTTTTAAATCTGGATTTAAAGCTGGTTGCATTGATATTCCTTCAACTTTAGCCACATATCCTACTGTGTCCAAGAAGGTAATCCCAACAGGGATGCCTATTAGGACACTACGTAAAAAAGATGGTATTCTCATGTATCACTCTAATCAAATAAAAAATAAAAAAAAAATAATTGTTGTATTAATAAACTTATATCAATTATAATAAAACATATGAGCAAATATTCTTATTTAGGTTAGATAAATGTGCATGCATACATACTAGATTAAATATGTTTATTCCATTTAAATTTCTTTGTATGGTATATTTAAAAATGACTTATAAATAATTGGATTTAATATCCTAACCAAAATTTATTTCCACTAACATTCATGTCAAATATGAAGACAGTATCCATTGATATCAATAGAGGTTACTATCAGGGTTGCCAACAAGTATTGATGAATAGAGAAAACTAAAAATAACTAATGTAATATAATATTAAATGATCTGCTAGACTATCATATATTTTAAATATTCGATATATTCAATATATCTGATATACATATGTATTTGAATTATCTTCTTTGTATAGAATAAAATATTAGGATTCAAATTGTCATGCACACACAATTACCGCTTAAAATGAGCCAATTAAATACTGCGATTTGCGCGGCACCAAATTTGAATTACTCTCAATGTATTCACCAAAAATGAACGAAAATTCCATAATTTATGATTTATCCTCTATTTTTTAATATTGCGTTTTTGTAAGTAGTTGTAAGAATGATGCATTCATTCTTTTATCATAAAAAACTTAATTTATTTTACATCTATTTTTAAATAATCACAACCACAACAGTAAATTAATTAACACGTTGAACGCCCAGCTCGAATCGGTGGAGTTTCTCCTTGGGCCCAAATCTTTGATATCGTGTTTAAGCAACGCGTTACGTAAGAAGGAGAATACAATACACCTCATAAAGGCCTCGAAGTGGGAAATGCAATAAGAGTTCCGAAGAAAGATAGCTTTCGAGAACGAGGAAATTATGACTGCGGCGCCAGTGGAAACATAGCTGTCACCCATGCTTGGGTGACGGGGCATTCAACGTTTTAAGCGAAATGTTTAGTAGGTATGTTTTTTTTTATATAATAGAAATTAATTCTAAAGAAAACAACATTTATCTTTAAAACATCATTCTTTCTTTATTTAAACTTAAGAACACAGGGTGTCCTTATTAAACGGATCAAGAATCAAATTCTCGTAGGCAATACAACGCTTGTCCACCTGTTTCTTTTTTATCCTCATCTTCATCTTAATATTATACTTAATAAATCTTCATCTTCATCTTCATCTTCATCTTC